CACAGAATGAAGAAAATGAATTTAAGCCAGGAATAAAATTTCTAAAAGACAATTCATTACGCCTCATCGTTGGCTATGATACAATACAAGTGTGGGGATATTCTGAAAACATAACATATAATCTTTTATACATCTGGTCAAAATGGTCGAATGAAAAATCCAAAGATAAAAAGATAAACTCGTTTAAAATTAGAGACGATGAAAAAGGATTAAAAATCAGCCTAAAATTAGAAACCGATGATATTATTACGATTACTATTCCAAAGAATGCACTTTCTGAGCAAATGACAAATAAACAAATTTTTCTCGACAATCTTGATGCATTCGAATTTCTACATTCGATTTGTCAAGTAGATTCAATTGCCAGAGACAATCAATTAAAAAAAATTCTGATGTCGACCGAAAAAATGCTAATTAGAAAAATAGAATCCAAAGAAATCGAAGTTGGCTTTTGGAGATTCCTTGATTTAAATCATAAAATCATGATTAAATTTATCGAAAAAGGCTCCGTCAGAATTATTGAATCATTTTTATCGAAACGCTATATTGAACACAAAGATCAACAAACAATCAAAACATTAGAGTTTGGTTTGCATGTTCCCTTTTTTGATAATAGAAGAACTGGATATAATGTTTTGTCAATTGCAATTGATAAAGAAAAACTTGAAATAATACAAGCTCTTATGGACTATTACATATCTTGGGGATCATATGATATTGGATATATGAGTCTTTTCTCAGAATCTTTACCAAGTTTTTATAAAAAATTCCCAGGTATGGCATTGTTGCTTTAACTTTTTTTTTAATAAAATATTCAAACAAATATCTAAGTTTACTAATTAAATTTCTTTTTTTAATATAAAAGAAACTATGGTCAAATATTTTTCGAATGAAATATTCTGGTGTAAAGAGCAAGAATTACCGGCAACAGCAATTTGTGATTTAAACATTCTTAAGATCAAAAAAGAGAAAATTCTTCCAATTTCATATACAAACAATATATATCATCAGCTTTATCAAGGCAACAAATTTTTTGATAATAAAAATATAGCATTCAAAACTTATGTCGTACCCCTTCCAAACTTTTTTAGAGAGTCCTATAAAAATCAAAGCCCTTTTATAATGACCTATTACTCACTTATTCAACATTTTTTCAGAATTCTCTATCCTATACTACAGTATTCTTCTATAAAACCTAAATCATCGCCAATCAATTTTAGTCCTTTAATACGTTTCCTTGAGTGTGATCCCTATTCTGATATTTTGATGTTTCCAGCAATCGATGCTGCTTTGAAGTTTAAAAATTCAATAGGCAACAAGTTTATGTTCTATATACATTTTGTTCATTCTTTTTTCACATTTTATTATCTCTATTGGTTATATTCTATACTTAATCGATCAATATTCAATATTGATGGAAATTCTGCTTTAGACTATTCAATTGCGATGCTCTCTATTTTTTATGGGGGATATTGGATTGTTTTATTTATATTATTTGGAGCATTCAGAAAATTCACATTTTATACTCTAATGGAATTGATTGAAAGCTTTTTAATGATAATTATGAGTTATATTAGTTTTAATATACTCTATAAGCGTGGTAATGGTTTTTGCTCCTTTACTACGAGTTCTGTATATCTCACGCCTCAAGCTATAGAAAAAACAGATGTAAATGGTTGCAAAGCTCAAGTTACAATATTCGCTTTCACAGCTTTAATAATCTGCATACAACAAGTAAGAAATTTTTATATTTTACAAACAAACAAACAATTTCAAATAACTTTAATTATTTCTTTATTTGATTTTTAGTTTCTTCGCTTAAGATTTATCGAAAGTAGGTAACTCAATATTTAGTTTATATTTTGTTATATCCTATTGACCAATCTCGTTTTCTTTAGAAACGTACTACTTTATTTATATAATCAACAAGATTTTGATAAAAACCGCTCCATTTATTTTTTTTCTGCTAATTATGATTGTTTCATTCGCTTATTCAATGTAGGTCAACGATTTGTTTTTTTATTTGAGCAGATATAAAGTTTTTAATTGTTTTCCATTATGTTTTAGGTTTCTATTACTTCATTTTACTCCACCTTTTAATGATAAAACATCAGAACCCGGAATTAATAATACGAGTTCTTCGATGGGCGTTGACGAATTCAATGATACTTCACAAAATTATTTTTGGAAAATGGAAACTTCTGTAGAGGCCGTTTATTTTTGGCTTAATGGAAGATGGGATTATTTAGATAAATGGAACTTTTGGCCGATTCACTTTTTATCCGTGACTGGGGGATTTTTTCTGGTCATTGTGACACAAAATATGCTGATTGCTTTTATGTCGTAAGCATTTTTTTTTTGATTTTTTTATTCATCGTCCTAATATAGTATACAATATAAATACGTATTGATTTTTTTATTTAGGAAAATATATGACGACATAAAAAAGAAAAAAGACCAACATTCTAAACTAGCGATTGCCCGTATTTTATCTGAAACTTTATCTATACGTGAAATAGCTAAGCCACTCTGGATATCTCTGCTGATTTATATCTCACGAATTTGTGGATTAAGAAGGATTTTGTATAACGATAACGATAAACTATTTTCTTTTTTAAAAAAGCAAAAGTTACTGTCACCATCTCGGCCTCGACTTTTATATTTTGCAGCTGATCCAAAATATATTGACGAATATCGTAAAAAATTCACATTACAGACGTAATCGTTAGCGTTAGCTTCATTTCCGGAATTTTTATCGACGACGAATAAATGAAATTTTCAAAACAAATAAACAATAGCATATTTTTTATCACGCAGGTAGTGAAGAAAATCTGAAAATAATATTTTTTTTGTGAGAACATTCATTTGATTCTAATTTTACAATCTGTTATAAAAAGCCGCGTTGATAACTATTTTGAGCATTCAAGATATTAATCCAACGCTACTGGGTGTTTAACGCAATTGTGATATGTCCTTTTAGGTGATGTTTAATAGGAGAATTAGGCTATAACGACAATAATAACGATAACGATAAATTGTTTAAGGGGTTATTAGTGAAAGTATCTTCGAAAGAATCTATAATAATGAAGATTATTCATGATGCTATGAGTTTTTTCTTTTTTACATATCCCTTTATGCTCATTTCATTCATCGCTTCTTCAAGTGTTCGTTTTCTTGAGTTTCCTGTATTCCGATAGGCAAGAATACTTTGCAGCAACTCCTGACATGTAGCATTACGATTAAGTTTTCCATCTCCTCGCCAGATTTGACTAAAATCGTCGAGTTTTCCTTCAACGTTCATCTCTTCGTTTTCGTCATCGACTATAGTTTTTGTTTCCTCCGTCATTTCTGATTCGTCAAATCGTCGAATCTCTCGTTTTCGCCAAAATGGCAGCACATCAACCGCTACCCTTGTGTTGATAACATCTCGATGCTTTGAATCAAATTTCTCGCCATTATGGTCAACGTATGTGGCTCTTGATACGTCTTCTGGGTCCGCCAATTCTGCAGCATATTCGATCGCGGTTCTTTCATCGTCAAATAGCTTGTCAAACGTGAATTGAAATCCTTCTTGAACATCTAAATAAGTATATACGAGATATAATTCATCACCGTCGACAGTTTCTAGAGGATACTTAAATTCCGGCTTTATCGATTCGACTGCTATTCGCCAATTATCGAATCCCTCTTGTAGTTCATCGAATGATTGTCCTTTATGTTCAACATATTTTGCAACTGTCGGTGAACCAGGGGCGCCATAAAAGAAGAAACCATAATCAATAGCTTCTTGATATGCTGTCGGATAGTCATAAGAAGCTCCATGAAACATTAACGTAAAATCTTCCGGATCATCCAAATAGGAGTATGCAATGTAAAACGGTCGATATCGAAGTCTGCTGAAAACTTGTCGCTTCCATGCAACTGCAGGTTTTAGTTGAGGCTTTACCATTGTTTGAATCATAATTAATGGCGTCATAATTTGATCGGTATTTTCGGGTGTTAATGTTCGATACATGTTTTTCCATAGATTTTGTGATGAATTAATGAAATAATACACAGCTTTGTAGGTCAGACTAACTGCAATCAAGTCTTCAACTTCTAAATAACCGAAAATTTCTTCGGCAATTTCGAATCCGACTGGTATAAAAGTATTTCGCGCGAGTTTCGCTAGTGGCTGTACGTGAAATTCTTGGGTTGGTATCGAAGCTTCAACGTTTTTATTAGATGTTATCGAAAATTTTTTTTCTTTATTGTCGTCTGAATTATTCCAATCCATGGGTTCAAAACAACAGGTAAATGTAGAAGTCATTTTTCAAAGAATAAAGATATTTAATTAATGTAATGAATGAAAATAAAATTCGAGTTTCCCCAAAAATGCTGATTTATAGTATAACTTTTGAAACCAATTAATTTAAAAAAAAATCACGAACTTGTTTGAATTTGTACCATCTGAGAGTGTACAGATTGTCCATGTACAACATTTTCTTTATCTACTATTTAATATTAGAAACAATGTTTATTATCGTTGTTAATTACCAAGTTTCGAGTGAGAAATCAAAAAATTTATTCTTTATTACATTACCGATAACTGAAATTGATTCTAATTCATTGTCACTTCTAATCCGGGTTTGATTTTTCAACACCGACTCTTTAGCTGACGACGACGGCGACAATGAAGCAATCTCAGAATAGTTTCGTTTCCATTTGCCATCTTTATCTCTCGTTAGTCTAGCTATTTTCTCTTTCTTTTGTAAATTCGGTGGACTTGTTGGGGCCATTGATTTGCTCAAACTATTAGCGTTACTTCTACCTTTCGATGATTTCTTAGCATAGCTTTTTGCCACTTTCGTAATTTTAGTGTATTTTGGATTTATTTGTTGTTTCTTTTTGGCAATTTCATTTTTTTTCGAAGATGTTTTCATTTTTCAAATTGAAGAGTACGTAGATGTTTGGTTGTATTTTTTTGCTTGTAGTCAACAAAGAAAATAAATGCCACATGATGCAGACGGTTCCTTGATTGATATATAAGGAATACATGTGTATTGTTTCTTTACGACGTATTACTAGTATTAATGTTATTGTTACTGTTATCATTATTATTCTTACTGTTATCGTTTGTGCATTTAGATAATAACTACGTATAATTACAAGATAATAGCTACGGATAATTACAATAACACGGAGTAAATAATAATAAACTAACGCTAACTAATTTTTCGCAATGTCACCAAACTTGATGATCAAATGATGTGTGCTCGAATACAAATATTTACATTGTACATGTAATAACGATAACGATAATATTCAATATAATTGTGTTCAACATGTGGCGGTTTTTTTTCGTATTTTTGAATTTACCCGCTTTCTCATTCACTCATATAATTCAATGAGCCAATAGTAGTATCTTGTTAAACAAATACAGCATTAATGTGATAAAGCAAAACGGATTTTTAGCTATTTTCACAGCTACCGACTATTTTTTTTCTCCGTACAATAAAACTAATACATGAAACATTTACGTATTGTAGAACATAATAAAATATCATTTTTGTTTCATTGCGATTAAGATAATAAATTCGTTATAAGATACAGTATATATTTTGTGATTACCAGATTAATCTTTTTTCTCGATTCTACAAGCATTTTATAACCTTTTCGTTGGGAATATGGATTTATGGCCTAAACACTTGGTCTTGGATTTCAATTCATTACCGAAACTTGAATCTACCGCTACGTATCGGTATTTCTGTATATCGAAAGCTGTGATCAGCATGTTACAGTTTTTGATTTCTTGACCAGGTGTTTGTATTGGTACACAATCAGCCGATTAGCTGAAACTTCAAAAGGATAGTTAATAAGATCAAAAAAGGGTTATGCCTATAGATGTGAGCTAATTATTTATCAAATATATATAAATTACGGCAGCCGAAGATAATTTACATACTTACATAGACGCCCAAATTAATTATGGTATTTAGCCCTCATCTATAGTTATGACTGATACGTATATAGCTATGGAAATTCACCTCTATGCACGCAGCACTATGTACACTTTCTCTAATGTACGCTTTTGCTCAGCCTCAACCTTTAAATATATACTCTTTATAAATGCAATATCTCTCTAAATGCATGCTCATATCTGATTAATCATATGATTCTTGTGAGTTGCATTTAGAGAGAGTTGACTGTAGTAGAATTAAATGATAATTAATTAACTTAATACAGGTTTTAGAATAATTTACAGATGTGATTCAATCAATACAAAAGAATAATTTAACATTTCAGATAAGATGTAGTTTCTTCTGTTACAATAGGTTACAACATGTAGCAATTAATTGAAGTGCCATCTTTAATCCTCTATAATTGACACAAAATCTTAATTGGTTGTTTTCTTTTGGACAATAACTACCAGTGAATTCTTTGCTGACAAATTAAGTGACACTGGTGATTTACATTTGCAGTACCAGTATCATAAGAAAAATACGCTTATAAATTTCGATATACGTCTGATATATCTGTAAAAGATATGTAAAAGGGCACTTTTTACATAGGTTTACAGACATATAAATCGTAAATCGCGTACATAAAGGTTGTAAAGTTTCCCTAAATACTCGATTTACGTACGTGTTTATGTTTTTGTAAAACACATGCAAAAAGCGACATTTGACATATCTTTTACAGATATCATATATTTTTGTATATTTCACAGACATATTACATGCAAATTTTCTTATAGGGTGATTGACATTCGCAGAAAAGAACGTGAATGTGATTCTAGATTTGGACGTGAAAGTAGAAGAATTCCAAGTCAAAATACAACAACTAGAAACAATTATAGTAAAAAACAATTATATACACATCATGTGTCGAGTATTTATCGTCTTTTCACGCAACTGAATTTTCTCAAAAAGTTCGTACTGATTTATTGATAAATTTATGAGTTATTCCAAGTGAAACGTATAATTGCTATTTTCTCAAACCGGAATTTGTGATACAAAACTCAATAAAAGCAGGAAGACTTGCATAATAGTCTTCAGATATCTACGGAGAAACCTACTGAGAAACATCAGCAATAGGCAGAAATAATAAAGATGACGATATTTATTCCAAGCAATACAAAGGAAAAATAGCTCAACTTACAGAACACATGAATTCTGATGATATTCAAATGACAACCTCTGTTCCTAGTGAAAGGATGCGGATAATCATCTTACAGCACGGAGAATATTTTATCTCCTAATGATATTGTTTTATTTGGATGTCTCAATCATTGATTTAACGACTACGTAATTACTATCTTTAATAAATTCTATTTGCGGGACAACATGTAAGTCGTCATATTCAATTTTTACTTTCACATGATAAATGATCCACAACACCCTCTCGACAATCACATGGAAAAATGTGATAGGTGAAGCGGCACTTTCATTGATAATGATAACTACGTAGTCGTATAAATACTGTTACGCTATTACTACAAATAATCCCCTAAAATGTCTTGGATGACGTAATGCCAGATAAGAAATTGTGTACATGTATAGTCAACTGTTTCCCCTTGAAAACTATAAATATCGGACTCCTTATCCAATAACTATTTACGTTTCAAAATAATATGTTGCGTATTTCTTACTTATTTATTTGAATATTTGAATGAGTTTCTCTAATTAGCAATAAAATAACAATAGTACCGTAAATTGTATAGTGATAGTAAAATCCAATATAATTCCTAATATAATTTACACCGACTTTATTGCATTCACCCATATCGATGCTTAAATAAACCCGTACTGCGATTTTATAATAAAAAACCTGATTGTTAGTGTGCACGTGTGGCGCAAAAATCAAACACTTATAAGCAGGAATTTGTCCATGTCTTTGAGAACGCTCATATAGTAAAATATGACGTGCATTTATTGTTGTTAATAAACACTTTATTATTCACTACTCATAGATTCTGCAAATTTAACTTTGACAAATGTTAAGCTCAATAGTAAACCATAAAACAATAATAAAGAACATATTAATATAAATGGAAAAAAAAGAAAGTGCTCCCGATACTACAGGCCACAAATATATATTTAAGGTTCGCGGCGAATCATATCCACCCCTTCGTCGAACCCATCGTCGTAAATTTAGTTCTGACGAAGATTTGCGCAAAAAATGCAATGAACACGATGAATACGACCAATATATCGAATTTTTGGAAGCGAAATTAAATGATTTAGAATATGTAATTAAGGAACTTGTCAATAATCAAGTTGACATTTCTTTGGAATCTGGCAGTGTATTTGATTTTTCGCAAATTGTCAGTATGAAACCATTATATTTTTCAAATGGAATTGTCAAATATCAATACTAATAGTTACTATTGATTAGGACACGGAAACACTCCTTGGAATTTCAAATCAATTACGAGCACATACATAATTAATATTAAATAATTCCATTCTAAATATTTTTTGTAAACTTATTTTTTCAATATATGATGATATTTATTAAATTATTTTTTCGATGATATTTGTAAGCAAATAAAATTCAATAATACACTAAGGTAGATTCTGAATCTGATAAAAACTTATAGTCCCTGAATATAAATCGTTCTTTTTCAATATTAAAAAGTATACTGGTAAAGAACTTATAGTAGTACCGTAAAGCGCTACCCTTAATTTAGTTTAATAAAACCATTCTTTTTCTACAGAACGAATAAAAGATTAATGGCTTGAGGTTACATTAAGGTTTGAATTTTCTACAAATGAGTACTTTATGCAGCGCTTTACGATAATCCTTTAATAAAATCTCAAAGTTTTTTATCTAGTAAAGGTTTCGTTAACAAAATCTAAACAAACCATACGATTTTTTGTCAGATTTGCTCGGATCTGAGGAAAAAACGTAATTTCGTCCTCTTTTTTTACATGGAAGATGAACCATCTATTATTATACTAAAACTAATACTGTATAGGTATTCGCAGAAAAAGAAACAATTATTCTAAATTTGCATTCATAATTAATGTCGCACTAATTTGCTAAACCATTATACCTTTTCTTAATAAAGATTCGTTGTTGTTCGTGTATACCACAGAAACCTCGACAATTATTCCAAAACTTTTTATTTAAATCATAGCATATTCAAAAATCTCTGCACGTATGCTTTTGTATGAATCCATTCATGTACAAAGCACACTTATCTTTATAAAGAGGATCGGGTAAATCAATAAAGACAAATTCTTATACAACATCTTTCCGCATTCTTTGTTTAGCGAATAAAACTATTTTCCTCGGGTTTCTTATTTCTTAATGCCGGTAAATTTGTTTTTGCAGGATAGTTTAAAGATCATCTTTGTCTTGTTTTCTTGATATGTAAAACAATTATCGTCTATCGCTATACATGTCGAGGATAACGATGAAGCTGTTTGTAATTGCTTATTTATAATATCGTAATGCTCCTGATTTGGATATAAAGCGAATATAATTTATGTTCGGTAAGGTCATTTGCCGTAATAATTAAAGAAAACCGAAATGCACGCACAAAACTTATGCTTAAAGCGGACTTGTCATAGAATTACATGTCTCATAATCCGCTACAATGTATTAATCACCGATAAAAATTGTTATTGACTTGCATGAAACAAAAGAATGTAAAGTTTGATTTACGTTTTAATTTTTTAATATGGTCGATTGAAACTTTTACATTGGAAATTAGAATTTGAATCAATTATTAATTGACTTACAAATATGGAGCTTTGCGAATCATTCAAATAACGAATACGTAGTCCTTTTTACATTTATTCTTATTTACATGCGTCGCTTGTGTTCACAATCAAATCCAGACAAAGCAATGACTCATGCGGCGACTGAATGAAAACAACGTCGTTGAAAAATTAGAATCGATAGAAACTTCTATTGCATAGAAAGTAAAATTCCTATGAATTTATGATTTTCAGTATTACGCGCAGTTGAAAGACGTTTTGTGTTAGACAAACTGTTACATATACAGCGCTTCTTTGTCCTATGAAAATAATTTATTCTAATGCAATACGTATATTATAAATAATGAATAATTAAAGCGACTAATTCATCCACAACTAGCACTAACTAATTATTGATTCATATGACTTTGGCTCGTGTATATAAATAGCACTCAATTCGTCATTTCTTTTTATATACTTTCCAATAGAAAATCTATATAATGGCAGTTAAACAACAAACTCTAACTTCATTAAAAAACAATAACAACGACAACATTCGTATCAAAAGCAACCTTCGGAAATGCAATAATAACGAAATAGATACTACAGGAAAGAGATACATCTTTCAAATTCGAGGTGCATCTTATCCTCCGACACGTCGTACTCTTAGAAATCTAAAGAACTCGACAAACTGTAAATCTTGTGATCAAAATTATCAGTATTTTAATTGTTTAGAGGCGAGGTTGAGAGATTTGGATTTAATTGTCGATAAAATGAATGGAGTTAAAGTAACAACAGAAAGTCTTGAAAAAGAGAAACTTGATTTTTCAAATCTGGTACTTTGATTTTTTGATTTGTTATATTTAATATTTAAGATTTAATTTTTATTCTTTGTTTCTTATAGGATATTGATGAGCTTTTAAATATATCGCAAAGCCTTCGGCTATAAATTTAACGAACTCCTATACAGGTTTAATCAAACGAGCAAGAATTCGGTTGTAAGTTTGATGAGATCCAAGAGAGTTCTATATTTAATGTCATAAAAGGCAAATTCGTTATAACTTTTCATTGAATAAAGTTTAGCTTACTGAATTTACTGAAAAATATAATTGATAAAAACCTAATCATCTAATTACTATATTTATAACCGGTACAATTTAGTTGTTTTTTCTCTATGCAACTTATTAAGCCATTTGAATATAAACCAACCTAACATCCCTTAGTTATAAATTTATATATCCTATTATTTTTTAATTTCATTTTATTTCTAAAAAAAATAAATTTTGATATCTATTAAAAGAAAGTTGAAACATTTTAAGCATTTATTAATACGAGCTATGTACACTCTAACCAATGACCGAACTCTTGATGAATTAATCGTGCATAAGCCGTCTTCAAATTGTAAAGACATTTATTTTTCTTTGTCAAACAAGACTTGAATTATTTTATAATTTTATTCTCTGATCAATAATATTTATATAAAACTACAATACAATAAGATGCAAATGATTCTCGTTATAGTAAAGGCATCCGTGCCATTAGTAAAAAATTTATTATATCGAAAGTTTATTAGTAAATTTATAGACTGGTTTTGGACGAACTTTACTATATCAAGAGTTTAATTAATCTTTGCTATAACGAGAGTTTACTATAACGAGAGTCACTTGTAACAATAATTTTTATATAATTTTTTATCTTCTGATTTCTGTTAAATTAAAAGTTCGTCGGTATTCAATAAAGAAAATATATAGATTTTTTCTATTCTCATAACATAATTGAGGTCATACTTTGGTTTTTCTCTTAATTTAAATACAAAATACAATGTGACTGTTTAAATATAATTAACTGAGTATTCATAAAAACATGGTTTTGTGCTGACATTTTGTTTAAATGCAAAGCATTCTTTTTACAAGATAAATTCCTCAAAAATCGAGTTTGAAATTTAGTTATATTTAAAATTTAACCTCTTTAAAATAAACTTTGTTTAAATAAGCAAGACATCGAATTTTGAAAATAGTGTTCAGTTACTTTTTATCACCATCCGTAAATTTATGATTTTCTCTCATTCTTATCGACTTCAGATTGCAGTGTAACCACAACTATTAATAATCACCAAATAATTGACCAAATTTTGACTATGATTTTATTTCAACTTTTAAAAAATTTTTGCTATCAAATTTTGCCCAGGTGAAAACAACCCTGTTCGACCAGTGCGTGTCATAGAAAGCAAAAGTCTTTCTGCAAATTAAATGTGAATATACGTATGGTCCTTTACTGGTATGTGTGCGACGATGAAGAGTGGAGATAACATTTAAAACTTTAAAAGAGATGGAGATAACATATTTAAGAAAGATGTAAAATATGTAGTGAGAAATGCAGGATACAAAACGGGTAGGTGATTATATTAGCTTACAGAATAAATAAATTTAGAGGAGAAGGGAGATAAGCAAAATGAGTATATTAAAAAAAGAAAGGTTTAGAGGTTTATTTAACGATAGGCGTCTATGAGTACTTTTGAAATATTATTGTCGTTTGCGTTCGGTATAAGAAACTGGTTATTCAAAATATTATTAGTTCCATTAGTAATGCTTTGTGCCATGTTTAAATAACCAGCTGATGGTTGCGGATTTTGTTGGTTAAGTTGTTGATCCATATTATTTTATTCTAATGTTGAAATGAGTTAGAAAAATTTTGAATTAACAAGTTTTATATTAAAAAAACAAATAGAAATTTATTCTTTAGGGGATTTGAGTTTTGTTTATATAGATGTGTATTTTTCCTAATTAGAGTTTTATGCTCATTCACAAGTACGTGTTAATGAGATAACAAAAATGAACGTTTGTTATTATATCGAGATGTTACTCTATCAAAAAAATAAATACATGTACTATGAAAGCTTATTACATTAATGAGCGGG